CGAACTGGCGTCGAGGAATCGTCGCCGTGAGTCTGGGATGTTAGCGTTAGCCTACGGCCCGGTGACAGGTCTGCATCATGAAGCCGGATTTTTCCGATCACCCGTGAATGCAGCAGACCCCGCCCTCCTCGCTGCCCTGGCTCAGGATTAAAGCTCAGAGGAGAGCGGGCCTTTACAGGAGGCGCTGCCAAAGTGTGGATCTGGACCATCGGAACAATCGTGTGTGTGTGTGCGCTCGCTCCTCACTTTGTTCTGCAGCTCCTCGATGTCCTCACTGATGGTGCTGATTTCCGCCTCCAGCATGTCGGTGCGACTCAGGCTGTCTTGCAGTGTGTTGTTGTAGTCCTCAATGGCCCGCTGAATCATGGGAAAGTGAGTTTGATTAGTGCCCCTGCAGCACGGCGCTCGCAGCCTCAGGTGTGTGCTTGTGCGTGAACTCACAGCGGCGTCCTCCATGGACTTGTCGAGGCTCTGCAGCTGAGCCCGGGCCACGGAGCTGGCGTTCAGGCTCCTCAGCCGAGCCGACGCCGACAGGAAGTCGTTGTCGAGCTTCTCCAGATCCTCCAGCAGCACGACGACGCAGCTGTCGCACACTGAGAGAAAAACACACGCTGAGCTTCACGTGATTGTAAACGCTGCAAAGAGCCTCTGAGTGTGTGAGACTCACGCTCGCAGTGGACGCCGTGCCGGTCCTCCGTCGGGACGCTGTACCTCTGCAAACAGCCGTCACACTGTCGGCCCGTCATCCCGTCGGGACAGCGACACTCTCCTGTGCGCGGGTCGCAGTGTCCTCCTCTGCAGTCGCACTCTGCAGGTGAGGGAGGGGCTTCAGGTTAAACACACCAACATGCAGCGCAGTGACCGATCAGCCCGCTGCAGCTGCCTCACACTGACCTCTCTGTGCCGTCAGAGCCTTTAATGACATCATCTGACCAATAACATGGCGGCTGTGCGCGGTGTTAGCAGGTATCTGTGTGTCACGAGTAGATGTTCCTGCGCTAATCTACCTGAGCTTCCT